GTGAAGCATTGGAGATTAAATTAAAAAAAAATGGGGACGTTTAATATTTTGGGTAATGCTATGGTAAATATCCTGGATAACCTTCAATGTTTAACATTGAATATGGCAAACATTGGTGGATAAAGCTTAACAGTGGGGACAACTTTATTTAAATATTTATTTAATTTTAAGTCCAAATCTTGGAACCATAAAAAGTCTTTATAAAAGTGTGAACAGCTATCTGTCCATCTTATCTTCTCGCTGAGTGAACTCTGACCCCTACAAAGCCCAGATTGAAGATTGACTTAAAGTAGCGTGTTTTTTGACTGCATTTATACTCGACGCGCAGTATTGCAGTTTCCTCCTCAAAGATAGGGGGCAGTAGACTACAATCGGAAAGCTGGTGAAAACGGCGAAGAAACTTGACGCCGCACAAATGTTAAGCGCTAACCAATTTTTAAGAGGGAACAGACATTTCATTAGAAATGTAACAATCATTTAGGATACAGATGGTGGGATTAACGGTTATATTTATTTTGGCTTCCAGTACATATTGGGATTAAAAACCCAAAAGGAAAAAACGGGACAAGTCAACGTCACAGTAAGTACAACTAAATCAGAATCAAAAAGTAATTAAGCTTATATTGAGGAATAAGTGTAAGATAATGGGATGAACACAACAGAGGAAGATGGTATAAGATTCACAAAAGAAACTGTAAGATTAGGATTTGAACACATTGCACTTAACGGTGCAATGTGTCCAAATTGCACCGTTACAGATTACAGCAACATACAGAAAATTGTCAATATTGTGGAGAAAATTGAATAGAAACATAGTTTATAGAAGATTGGAGATAGGATATTAATGTTGCAGGAATTTAGGAAAAGTAAACATTTAATTTGACACACTTTATGTGCGAGCGGTGGATTTTTCAGATTTTTTTTTTAGACTCCAGGTCATTTTGTTCGTAACGAGTCACGTGAAAATTTAAGGAGCAAAAAGCAAAATGAAGGGTGTAAAAGCAAAAAGTCGTCACTGGTTTTGATGAACAGTTGTGTAATATGGTTTTATTTTAACAATATTACAGAAGCAATGTTTTTCCAAATTTATTTTGCTTAATCAAGTTGTTTCTGGTGTTTTAAGTGCCGTTACTTTAGCCTTGAGGGTTGGTGGTTACCATAGTAACCGGTAACTAACATCTCCTCCCCCTTTTTCTGTTGCCGTTAGTTAATGTGATATGCATTAGCATCCGTTCTGCGTTTTCTTTACAAGTATTATGTTTTAACATAATTTTATACAAATTTAATAACGTATATCATGAGTAATTTTGCTGCGTTATGTATACGTTTTGAAATGCCGACATTATTATCCATGTTGGCTATGATTAATTTTACAGATTTTAACTAACTGCTGCCAACTTCTGCTTTGTTGGACGAAAATGACAAAAATGTACCGCTGTACATTTTATTTAATGTAGGCGTAAAAGCTGCTGGACTGATGTCAACTACCAACTTAACTACCTCTTTTGTTAAAATAAATACAGAGAACCTAACGTATCTGTCATGAAGTCGACTTGCTGGAACAACATAGAAGGGTTAACAGATGTTTGGTAAAAGTTTTAACTTATGTACGAATGAGAATTAAAAGGCAACAAATAAATGAAAAGCTGAGAGGCAGCGTGATTCTTTACAGATAATCAGGGTAAAGGGCTAAACAAGACCCAAAACATAAATGGTACCATTCAGAATCCTACAGAAAACGCCCCCTGCTGGTCCAGATGGTGCAACAGCTGATGTAACCATGGAAACCACAAAGAGAACCAGACCTCATTAAAATTTTATACGACGAAGCGGGGGTCACGTGACCGATGTCATCACGTGATTGAGTCTGAACTGGTTTGTGGACCAGTAAGCACCGGGGACGAACCAGCAGCCATCTGACTTGCTGCGGAGCCTCTGCATCATCAGCGGTTACCGTGGCAACCGTCACAAAGCCGCGAGCGCGTTCACGAGGGGTCCGTGGCTTCAGACGAATCTCAGGAGATCCTTTGGGTTGTTTTACTTTTTCATTCGTTTGTTTTATTTTTTAACAAAAAGGCAGCTGTCGTGTTGATCCAAACACAACGGAGCCCGCAGCGTAATATCCGGTCCGCGCGCGCTCGACTCGGAGCGAGATGACGGACACAGGAAGTGATCGAGAGCGGATCGATGGAGGTGATTAAAAATGTTAACCCAGAGGGTCGCTTTAACAGCTGAGTGCGGTTCTGATGAGGTTCCTGTCCAGGATCGATCGGTGCTCTGGCTCGTGCAGGTCTGCGGTTCTGATCCAGGATCTTTGTTTCAGTTCAATCTAGTTTATGGGTCTGATCCAGATCTGCTTCTTTTTGTTTTTGTTCTGATTCATTTTGAGCTGACTGCACCATCTGTTGAAATATTTGCTCCAGCACATCTGGACCGGGTCCACACGAAGCTACCAGTTGAATGAAAACCGGTTCTGAGGGATTGTGTGATTTGCTTCTAAATGTGGGAACATCTATATTTTATGAGGACTCCTGCGGATCGATCGCAGCTCCAGTCCATGACCTCTCCATCCGGAAGCTGCTGCCAGGGGACGAAGGTCAGCAGCAGGAGGAGGATGATGATGGTGGAGCCCGGACGATGTCAATAATTGATCAGCAGCTGCAGAACTAACTGGGAGCTGATGGGAACCAGTTTGGCTTTAGAAACCCAATGGATTTACCCGTTAGCATGGCTCTACAGTCCAGAACCAACTACACAGCCGACTCTGTGGGTCCGAGTATTACCGCCTCACCTGTGGAACCCAGGTGATCCAACAAAACATCAAACTGACTTTTAAATCTGGTTTTGCATAATTTAATCACCTAATCCAGATTATCTTTATACAACTTTAACTTTCATATTTCACAAACATTACTACCTAACAAAAGTAATGCATAATTGTAAATTTTGCATAAAATGGTTTTCCTTTTTTCAGTCAACAATTGTTAGTGTATTTTTAATACTGCATAAAGAGGCTTAAATAAAAAATTTGCAGAATGTTCCAATTTGAAAAAAAAAAGATTAATCGTCAGAATAATTAATCGATAACTAATCATTAGTTGCAGCTTTATAAAACTCACTCAGTATGCAACAGAGAGATTAATAGAATCGATTTCTGTTGATCACAAGTAATCAGTAAATTGGACTCAGAAGTTATTTGAGTTTATTGGATGGTGAAGTTTGCAGAGGTGGGTAGTAACTAGTTGCATTTACTCAATTACATTTACTTTAGCTTTTGTTTGGAAAAAATTTACTTAGGAGAGTACTTTTTACTTGAGTACTTTTATTATGAAGCATTGCTACTCTTACGTGAGTAAAATTTCTGGATTTTCTGCCCACTGAATGAAAAACAAACATGTTTTAACTAAAAAATCCACCAGATACACACATCTGCAGTTTTTGTTGAAGTTTTTTATTGAAAGAAACTGATTTGGAAAAATTTTCTTTTGATTTTATTTACTTACATGAATTAGTCCTTAAAATCTGATTACGTCATTTTTAAATCAAATGATTGATCAGTTACTCAGTTTTGTAGTAGACTTTTACCAAATACTTTTTTACTTTAAGTTCAGTAATTTCTTGGACGATTACTTTAGACTTATTTTATTGTCGTTGCACAAAAACACAACGGTGAAATGGACAACGAAATTTCATCACTTGGCCACCAGAGCACACAAGAAAAAGAAAAAAAAGACAGAAAAATATAAATACATAAATATGCATTTTCAGACAGTCATATTAGGGGGATTATTGATGTTTAGAAATCCAGTGGTGAATCACTACATTGATGTAGTTCTACTCTTACTTGTTTACAGTTTTTGGGAACTCTACCGACCTCTGGAAGTTAGAGATCAGTATTTGATGCATTTCTCTGTCTCTTATGGATGTGTCTCCAGGGTCGTTTCCATAGTTACCGCCCTAGTGACGGCCACCACGCAGACTGTCGTGGGAACGTCGGGAAACCTCTCGGCCCTCCGGGAGCAGAGGGGCACCGACTTCGGCGAGGTCCAGCTGCTGTCAACCGCGGCGGTTCTGAGCGCTGCCGCGGTTGACGGGAACTCGGCTCTTCAGGGCTTGGAGGTTGCGGTTCAGGCTCTGGTGCTGCTCTTCATCTTCCTCCTGTCCAGTCTGGGTAACTCGGCGGTGGTCGTAGTCATCATCAAACACAGACGGCTGCGAACGGTGACCAACGCCTTCATCATGTCGCTGTCGCTGTCAGACTTCCTGACGGCCGTGCTCTGCCTCCCCTTCTCCTTCATCATGCTCTTCAGCAAAGATGGCATCTGGATGTTCGGCGATGCCTTCTGCGTAGCCAATGGCTTCTTCAACACCTGCTTCGGGATTATCTCTACGCTCACCATGACGCTGATCTCCTTCGACAGGTACTACGCCATTGTCCGGCAGCCTCAGGCGAAGATCGGGCGCCAGAAAGCCGCCCAGCTGCTGGCGGCCGTGTGGCTGACGGCGGTGGTTTTCTCGCTACCCGGGTACCTGCTGGTCAGAACCACATCAGGAGTCCATAAGCGGGGGTTCTACCACTGCATGTACGTCTTCCATCCTGGCGGTTCCGGCGTAGGGACGGCATACAGCATCTGCTTGATCGTCGTGTGCTTCCTGCTGCCGTTCTCCCTCATGTGCTTCTGCCACTACAACATCTGTAAAACGGTCCGGCTCTCCGAGATCCGGGTTCGGCCCGTCACCACCTACGCCTACCTGCTGCGCTTCTACAGCGAGATGAGAACAGCCACCACGGTTCTGATCATGATCGTGTTCATCATCTGCTGCTGGGGGCCGTACTGCCTGATGGGCCTGGTTACGGCCATCGGGAACTACAGGTTCAACCCGGCCATGGACACGGTCGCCGTCTGGATGGCGTGGGCCAACGGCGCCATCAACCCCCTGATCTACGCCCTGAGGAACCCCAACATCCGCATGCTGTTGGGCCGCAGTCGACAGGAGGGCTACCGGACCAGAAACATTGCTGCCTACCTGTCCAGCCAGAGCCGGAACCGAGAGGTCCGGCTGAACCAGACGGAGAGGATCAGGGACTGCTACGTGAGCCGAGCCGGGCCCAACAACAGCCGGCTGTCGAGTTCCAGTCCAGGAAAAACGGGAATGGCCACAGCAGGAGGAGAGGTAGCCATGTGGGCCTGCAAGAACCCGGCCGTGTTCTTCTGCAGGGACGCCCGACACGACACAACGCCGCTGCCCAACGCTGCAGGGGAAGTGAAGACAAAGACGGCCGATACCAGCTTGTGACCGGGTCGGAAAGATTCTGGCTTAAATTTACTGTATGTAACTTTTATGAAAAAAAAGATATGTATTTTACAAAGTTGTTAAAACTTTTACCATGTTGTTACAGTGCAGTATGAGACGGATAATCTGAAAAAATCAAGTTCCTCCACCTTCTCTAAGTGCTAACAAGAAACAACCAATCAAAGCCAGGAGGCGGGTCTTAGTGCTGTCAATCACTCGTCTTTGCTCTCTATTACAATACAGCCTCTCCTTTGTAGTAAATACTAATCCTAATTAGCATGGCTACAGGTAAACAGTTTTCCTTTAATGGTAAATTGTTTTTCCGATATTACTGTGTTCATGAAGTTGATTGACAGCGCTAATACCCGCCTCCTGGCACTGATTGGTTGTTTTTGGTGGGGCGTTTCTTTAGTAGTTCAGGGAGGAGGCGGAGATAAATATTTTCATAGATTACCTGTCTGAAAACAAACTTTCACAACATGCTGACAGTTTTAACGGATAGGTTAAAACATATTTCTTTCATAAGAGTTACGTACTGCAGCTTTAAGGACAATCTGAGCCGTTCATGACTTTACTTTTGATCTTTTGCAGTTATTTAAGCAGCTTTTATACAACAATTTTAAGAACATTTGTGTAAATGATTTATCTGGAAAAGGACTCTGGATCTCTCTTCTCTCCAATTTGCCAAACATGCTGAGTTTTTTCCATCTTGTTTCTTCAGAAAACTAAACATCTGAAATTGCATTAAATGACTTCAGTGCCCATAAACAAGGCATTCTCATTGGTTAGCATAACCAATCATAATTTATCAATACCTTTACCAGTTTTCCCTCTGACGTTGGAAAGTTTCACATATTTGGGATTTTACCCTCAACATTTCAACTGAAACAAGTTACTTTGCATAGTCAAGGAATTTTAAATATTTCAAAACATATTTTGTCACAATGCACATTCAGTATTTAACCATTTGAAAGTATTTTAGTAAAAATGAGCTAAGATTAACTTTTATGATGCATTGTTATGTCTGTCATACAACTAAGTTTTGTCATTGAATTTGTGATTCTAAAAGATTTCCAATAAAGATTTTTTAAAGATTTTCTCAGATTCAGTTTCTCTGCAAACATTGAAGGTTTGTAGCAGTTCTTCTTCAGCAGATGCCTCTGAAAGTCACCCACTTTAATGTTGCTACAACTGGGCTGGGTGCAGGGAAAATGTTATGACGTTCAGGAATATTACCAGGCATCTTCTGTCCCAAAATCTTCAGGATTTTATCAAACACAACACTGACCTCTAGCAGGACAACGATCAGGTACAAAATTATTATTACGATGAATATTAGTGTCTATTGTCATTCTGGAACTGTTCAAACTGAATAAGTTTGAATATGCAGAAATATTTGTAAAGAAGACAACAGGAACACAAAAGTAACGGCTTTTGGGATTATTTTCCTCTGTCAAGGTTAATTAAATTATTTATAGTTCAAAATGTCTAGAAAACTTACGATAAAAACAGTGCAAATACAAATTAAACAGGATTGTGGCAAGGGAAATGGTGAAAACCCTGGATGTGCCACCTTTCACAATGGCTCTTAATAAATTTTGTTAAAATTAATAAAAAGAAAGCCAATGTTTTAAAAATAAATATAACAAATGCGGGTTTTGGTTGTTTTCCTTTTTTTTTTCTTTCAGTAATTGCAAGGAATTTCCACGACAGAATGACAGTAAAAGTACCAGAATTTACCTTTAGACTGATTTTTCTTGTCATTAGTTCAGAAACTATAGAAATAAAATTACGTGTATTTTAATGGCAATATATTACAATATTTTTCAAAAATTTAGTTCTTTTTTGCCAGTTATGTAACATTTGCAGCTCAAACATTTTTTATATGACCTCAGACTTTCACAAATCTTCCATCAATATTAATTTTTATTCTGGCCGGCTCTACAAAGTGGGTTTAAACTTGTAATCTTAATTCATAAAAATCTACACAATACCATTGTAAAATCTATTTCTATTCTATTGAAAATATGTAGCTAGAGCAACGAATCTTTCACTTTACGTAATATGTTCCGGTTCCATTTTTCTTTTGTAAGCTGTTGTGTGTTTAGGATTTAATTTACGAGTCCAGACAGGTCGACTGGAGTTGGATGCTTGCTGAGCTCCTGTAAAACTGCTGGTTGAACTGGTCACCTCTGCCTCTCCCAGTGCAGAACCAGTGTAAGGTTGAGGCTTTCATCCTGGAAAAACTGGCTCTGCTCTGATCCTTAACTGTGAATTTGAGTGACCTTCTTCCTGAAGGCAGAGCAACTTTTCCTCCTGCAGGATCAGATAACCGTTGTTGGAATGTCACCAAGCTTCATAACACAACACACACATTATAAATCTATTTTTAGAAGCATGAGATCTGATTTTTGTTTTAATTTAAAAAAATTAAGTATTTTTTAGTTACTGTTATGATTAAAGAGTTCTTATGAGTGACGTTTCACCTCAACCTGTAGTTAAGGATGTTCAGTTCAGATGCTGATTTACGGATCAGGTGGAGAGACGCTGCCGCACACCGAGCCTCACCCTCCGCCCTCTGCAGGGGTGAGGCAAGGCTGGGTGTGACTGCAGTGGCAGGAATGCAGTCATGTGTGTTTCAAACTCCCGCCGCGGCTCTGAGTCAGGTTCTCACACACACACACGGAGTCACACATACACCCTGCAACTGTGACATCAGGTAAATATGAAGTGACTGTGAGGACGGTGCTGCAGTTCTGCAGGTTTCTGTGAAACTGGACAAACGGCATGAATCAGCTCAGCGGGGAAGTCGGTTCACCTGCGGAGTGAAACAGTTTTAACTTTAACTCAGAGATAAAGCCTTAAAGACCTGATTCAGATTCATTTTTTAAAACTAATTCCAGATATTTTGGAACATGTAAGGAGGTTTTCTTCAGCATGTTGACTTGGAGACGGCAGGTTGAACTGGACCAGTCACAGCTTGAAAATGACTTCATAGCCTGTGACATAAGTGAGTATCGCACAGGTAGGAGACTCACACATCATCCCCTCAATAAAACACAGAGACCATCCTGAACCTGGGTTTTTATCTCATGGCATCAACAAACCAATGCAGTTCTTATTCAAATGTGACGCATCAAAAACAGAGCAGATGTATTAACGCTCACACAGGGTGAAAATTGAGTGTTGGTCAATGACCGAGGTGAAACTCAACAGTTTCAAAGTTAGTGAACTTTGGATTCTCAGGGTCTCCATCTGAAACCCGTTTTGATAAAGTAGGCAGATTGTTCAGCCTCTTAACTCAATTAATCAGTTAAATTCATTCACTTTATTTTGGATTTTAATTGTATTTAGCACCAGTTTAATTGCAGGTGAGGTCCTGATAAACACAAGCTGATTAAATCCAACTCACATACCTCTTTTTTTCTATGTCCACTCATGCATTGAAGGTATTTAGTTGATCCAAATCAGTACATGACAGTAATTCACCCACTTCTCTGAGTGTAGTCCTGTTAAATTAATGAATTCAGTACAGAGTACCCAAAAATTGTACTCAAGTAATAGTAACACTAAACTATTTTTATTAAAGTAAAAGTAAAAATTAGCCGTCCAAGAAATTACTTTGCAAAAAGGCGACTCAAGTACTGAGTGATCAAAATATCAATTGTTTAATATTTAAAACTGATATAATCAGATGGAACAAAATAAAAAGTTGTGTGAAAATTTAGGCTTTTTAAGGACCAAAATGAAATATTTTTTTTGTAACAAAGTCAAACAAAAGAAAAAAAATCCAAATGAATTTCTTTCACTTTAAAACTCATGAACAAAAACTGAGGGTGTGTGTCTGTTTTTGGTTAAAACAAGCTTGTTCATTTGTGTACAACATCCAGAAATTTACCCAAGTGAAAGTGAAAAATACTCCTGAAAGTATTTTTCCCCAAAAAGTTACTCAAGTAAACATAACTGTGAGTAATTGTGTTTAGTTACAACCCAACTCTGATCACAGCTCTGAGGAACTGATGACGTTGTTGACAGAAAGTCCATGAAGACAACAGAGTGAAAGTTGGTTCTGATATCTGAGGGAGAGACTAAATAGCACATTGGATCCAATCATTACTGAGAGATTACAGAGTGATTATTATTCATGATTCAACCAGAAAGATAATCAGTAGACTTAGATTAGTTGGAGACACAACTAGACCAAGACCAGGCGACTCAGAGTCTGACTGAAACTATTTGGTGGTCAGACTGACAACAGATCCGTCAAAAAGATGAAAACCAGAACTGGACCAGCAAGACTGAGTCCAGCTGAGACCAAATGAGCAAAAACTCAAACTGAAAACTAGCAAATCAGAGATCAGGTCAACCAGAGTAAAACTGAACCCAACTGAACCAGAGTCCGGTTCGTTTGGGGAGTGTGAACGTGCAATCGAACTCTGATGTGGAAAAAAAACAATTAAACTCTAGTTCAGGAAATAACCTAGGTCTGTTTGATTAAAGTGAACTCTGGTGTGGTTTAAATGCATATATGTATGCCAAGAGCAAAAAGCAAGAAGTGGACTAACGCAGGGGATTCTGGGTAAATACACCCAACAAACGTGCAAGTGGGAGAAATGGCTTGTGGTCTTAACAAAAAGAGAAATCCTTCAAACTCTAAAATCTAATGGTACTCCATTTTTGTTTACCTTTTTTAAAGAAGGAAGTTGTACTCATGTCTTCTTTTGAGGTTTTTGTGTTTAGTTTGACAGAGTGCAGTGTGAAATCAAACCACAGCAGATAAGTGTAATAAATGTTACAGTTTTGGTCCCCAATTGACCCGAGTCTACCGAACTGCCAAACCAAATTGGTAAACCAGAGACCAAGCTAACCAGAGTCAGGCTGAGGTCAGCAGAACGAGTCCAGTTAAAACCAGAACTTGTCCAACTGAGACCAGGGCAGGGTCAGGTTGAGATCAGGCCTTGATGTTGTCTTTGCGTTTCTTTCTCTCTAGTCTAGACGTGTTGCAACCATGACGTCCGAGGAGAAACCGCAACAGTGGTGGAGCCTCACCACTCTGTTTCCGTGGTGCTACAAAGGACATGACCAACCACCAACGCCTCCTGACAATGACGTGCCGATGTCGGTCTTGGAGCCCATGCCTTCCCCCCAGGAGGTGGACTCCAGGTTTACCGAACTGGTGGTGCGTTCAGGAGCACAGTTTCTGTCAGAAATCTGATTATAGATCCAGACATTAATCCCAATCTTTCTGTTTCCTCTGCAGAATGAACTGGGGCTCCCAGAGCAGAAGAAAGCAGCCATGTTTGCTTTGCCAACAAAAAAGAAGTGGGAGATTTACTGTTTCAATAAAAACGTAAGTGACTTTATTGGAAATCCAATGCAGCTGAAATCTGTCCAACAACATTTTCCTGCATTAAACTAAGACATAAGAAGAGACAAAAACAAACTTTGTCAAAAAAATTTTATATTTCCAACTCTTCTTCACCTTAGAAATATAGTTTCTTCTATTCAAAGCAAAATATTAATTTTTTTGTTGAAAAAAATTGCAATAAAATTCCAAATGTTTCCTTCCACAGTTCAGTTGTTTCCAGATTTTAGTAATCCTGGTGTTGATTCTGAAGTGACATATTGAGGTGATCCCCATGCAGGGCACCAGTACCACTGGAAGTGAAACAAGCCCTCAGCACCATGCTGCCTCCACTTGTTTGACAGCTGAAGGTGTTGATTATAGAGTTGGTGGCAGAATGTAGACATGGAAACTGAGGGAGAGACTAAATGCACATTGGAGCTGAACTAAGACTCAAATAAACTACAAACCACGATGAAAAGATAAACACAAATCTAAAAAAAAAAAAATCCAGCTGCACAAAGAACAAAACACAAGATTAAACTCAGAAATTAAACTCAAAGAAATGAACTTACATGGCAACAGCCTTGTAACCTAATGGATATGTATGTAAAAAACTAGAATAAGTGGTAAAAACACAAACATAGATGAAAACCAAAGGCTCAAGGATTGTGACAGTATTAGCTGTTTCAACTGATTATCTTGAAATCTGTCATTTTAAGAAAATAACCAAAAAGACTTTTCCAGCTTGT